AGAAATCTACGTGCTGCTGAAGCTCTTTGTAAGAAATACTCAAACTTTACAGCGTGTCAGCTATTTGGAAACCTCTGTGTTTTGCACGATTACACTGGTGAAGTTTGCGACCGATACGAGACACTTGTCGATACTTCTGTCGGTAACCCTGTTAATGGTAATTCCGATTGGCCTGCATATATGCCTTGGCTTTTCTACAATAAAAAAAATGCTGGTGAGGCTCCAGATATCCTAGACAAAAAAGAGATAACAAAAACATTTGAACGAAATGAAGATATTAAATTTCTCCTTGTGGTTTACACACTGAATGGATTCTTTGTTGGTTATGAAAACGGCTTAGATTCTATACAGATCTGCAAAGAGAGACCCTCAAAAATGGCTTCAGCATCAAAATTTGCCACAACTTACAAGTCATCATGTTCAGTTCCAGTTGATGATCTGAAAAACATGTCAATGTTTCTGTATGACATGTTTATTGTCCTTGGTGACAAGATTTACCCTGTGCCAGTACTCATGGAAAATTATGTAAGTGGCAATGAAAAAGTGAATGAGAACAGTGACAGAACCAAATGGCAACTGACAAGGAGGTTCTTTGTTGTCGATAATAAGATTGGGATTCGACCTGAATCCAAAGAACTAGAGTTCATCCGTTATTCCTCAAAGATAGAGGTGAACATTAGGCTGCGATCGTCTGATGGAGAAATATATCCCCCCATGTTGAGAATAAGATATGAACCATTAGCAGTAAAAGATAAAGCCAAAAGCAGCATAGAAATGTCATTTGCAGTCACTTATGAAATGGATTTGACAAAAATTAAGAAGGATACTGAGGTATGTTACTAATGTAATGATTCCTCCAATTAAGGGAGAATGGAAAAGGGTTTATAGGTGACGTTCCATGATCTGATTGTTAATTCTCCCCTCTAGCTATGACACATTTTCTTATAAATCAGTTACAAGAATTTGGTGAATTTTACAGAAAGGGAAGATTCTTTGTGGTGAATTTATTTACCAGTGTGAGGCATTATCTGTCTCTTGTAATATATGTGACCTGTGAAAACCTCAAGATTTCTCTGAAATCTTTTATGCAAGAAGAGAGATTTGAAGTTTACCCTTAAATTAATAACTTGATGCTTAAATTAATCTCTATAATTTTGGCATGAAAAAGGATCAGGACACTCCCCTCCCTCCCCCCTGTCCTTTTAAGGATAGCAAAGGGGGGGAAGGGGAGTGTCCATGACCCGTGTCTAGTATCAAATTTCTTCCTACAATATCACCCCTGAATCAAAAATTAAGGTCACATGAATGAAGAGAATGATCACCAATTAAGGAGGCTCTTGATTGTTTAACAACCTCAGTGCCTAAGGAAGTGCATGACAAACAGGATGGAGAATATGCATACTGATGCTATTTTGAACATAATGATACTCCTTCTGTATATATTCCACTGAAATTTTTTTCTTGATCTTTTGTTGACAGATAGCTATTGGATGCCTGTCTGCCCTAGCTGTCATTTTGGCCTTCATCAAAGTCTCAGCATGGAGGAGACGACAGGGCCGCATTGAAGTTGATGCAGCCTCCTTCTTGAAGTTTATCCTGTTTTGTTTCAGTACATTCTCCACCATGTTGTTTTGGGTTGCCTTTGGGTTGTCTATGTCATTTCTAATTTTTTTCAAACGACAAAAGACAGTGTCTCAACTTCTGCCCACACAAAGTCAGGAGGGTTTGTTCCTCAAAGTTGTGGTGGTTGTCATTGTGTTCAAAATTATTGATGTGCTTCATATGCTGTGGTCACAAATCTCATTTGAAATTTTTTTTATCGACTGGGAACGACCACAGGGGAGAGTTAACCAACCTACTCAGGGAGGTGAGGGAGGGGGCTTGGATGCCCCTGTCAGCATTTGGAGAACTCTATTCATCGCAAATGAGTGGAATGAAATCCAAACCATTCGCAAAATCAACCCAGAGTTACAGATTTTCGTCGTGCTGTTTTTCCTGAAGGTTTTTGGATTTGAGTATTTGGCAACAACAGACCCACAGAGTAACTTCTCGGCAGACTACACAACTGAATATGTTGGAGAGTTCAGCAAAGTGTTACGATTTGCAGTTTTGTCAATGTTGTTCCTAGCTGTGGAGGCTGTCCAGTGGTTCTTCTTTGCATTCATCTATGAGCGATTCTTTGGAGATTCTCTTGGCGACTTTATCGACCTGTGCTCAATGAGTAACGTGAGCATCTTTGTCTTAGAGGTTTGTGCAATTAGTAACATGATCATGAATTTAGCGTAGAATCAAGGAAAACATTTTGTCACATCCTCTTTTTGCTCTTAACCCTTTTACTCTCAGAGGTGTGTTTAATGTGGAACGTCTCCACATAATTTCCATACATTATCCAGCAAACAGGTAGAGAATTATCAAACGTATCAGGGAGGTGTTATCTTGATCTAACACCAAATTCTTGTAACTGATTTACAAGGAAATGTGTAGCAGCTGGAGGGGAGAATGTACAGTCAGATCTTGGGAGTTAAAGGGTTAACAACAAGGTAGTTTTAACAGTGGGGACCCTGTGCTTAATGTCAACAAGTCACATAAGATAGGTTTGGACTAACAAACTGAGTCAGTCACGTGAAGTGAAGGCTTATCGGTAAACTTCTTAGGAAAATGTATGTAAAAAGTTTTTTTTGGTCCAAATTCTATCTGTGATGCATTGGCACCTTAAAAAAAGAGAAAAAAAGCAGCTATTTGTTCTGATAGAGGGCTAAGGCTCAAAATGTTTGGTCTACAAACTCTTTACGGCGACTAATGTACGTTATCAACTCAGTTGAAAAAACAGATTATCTTGTACTACACCCCAACAACAAAGCAGCACAGATTCTTTATAATTGATAGGATGGTCTGGCAAACCTGAGAAAATGCTAAGGGGAAAGATCAGGATTTGAGGATTTGCTTCATTTTACCAAGAATGAAAGTGGTTTCTGCATGTATTTTTCACAAGAATTGTTCTTCAAAATTTTTTGTTTCAGAACAATTCAACCTTGAATCACACCCTTGAAAGATTAATTGTAAATGCTGTTCATAACTCCTAAGGCTACAATCTTTTCTTGCAGAATACTCGGTATGGTTACTACATTCATGGTCGCTCTGTTCATGGCCGCGCAGACACAAACATGTGGCAGATGAACGAACAGCTGAAGAGAGAAGAAGATGACTTGTGCGGGAGAAGAGGCTTGGAACCCAACACAGAGCGGCAGACATTTGAAATGGAGGTACCAGCAAAGTTCCGTGAACAGTATGAAGAAATTATCCGACCACTTCGTGACGGAAATGTTCAGCAGCAGAGGAGAAACATGCCTAATACTCCCATGGGTTAGTACTTGCCGTCTTGTTAATCACCCCTGGGATAGGGAGGTAAATAAGGGGGGAGCAAAAGTTCGTGACAGTTACCCCTGGGATAAGGTCTTAAATGAACGGGGATTGAAAATGCAAAGAAGTGATCCTGGGATAGGAACTAATATGGGTAGAAAGAGTAAACGACAGAGACTGCCCCGGGGATAGAGAATTTTAACTGGAAGGAGCTACTCCTGGGATAAGGATTAAAATGAAAGGGAATTGAGAACGAAGACGACAAGGAGGATTTGGTATATTGGAATCAGCAGAACCTGTGATAGGTTTTTTCGTTTGGCTTTAACACATGTTTTCGTCTCTTCTTTAGGTCAAGATGGTCGCCCAAGTCGCCTCCCTGTGGCAGTGGAGAAGCGCTTGCAAGCCTACAACACGCTAAACCGCTTTCTCTCTGCTTTCATCGATCACTCACTGAAGGACCTTGATTACCTGGTAAGGGACAAGCTCCTTTTTGAAAGGATCTTAAACATGGAGTTAAAAGAAGTCCCTCCTCCAGACAAGGCTATTTTTTACAACGACGATGGCAGATCGTTTAACTCGATTCTTTTCTATGGCAATGAGTGGACACTGATGTTCTTCGACTTGTTGGTGTTCGCCGCCATGGATTTGATATACCCGAATTTTGTTTTTGCTGGGGTAATGGCCTATCTTTTCAGTAAAGGCTTAACAATTGCCAGAAATACATTAGGGAGGAAAAATCTGACAAGAAAGACACTTGTAGATGAAAGGTTTCTGATTTAGTGTGACTAAGTTTCGTAAAACACTGAAACCAAAGCATCGACATCGGCAGATGCGAGCAGAGGTAGCATCGCAAAGCGATGAAAATTAGAATAGAACGTAAATTGTCGAATAAGAGAATAAGCAAATCGTCATCGCTTTTAGAGCGCTTTTCGATTGAGTGTCTTAAAAATAAAACACAACGACCAAACAGAAGACAGGAAAAATGCCTCCAACAGCCATTAAGAGCTCTAAGTTGTTTAACCGCCCAAAGCGCGAGAAAACGCGGGCGTCAAGTTAGTCTTTATTGCTTTTAGTTTTGCATCGAATTGGTTGGTAACGTAGCGCGATTTTTCCTGACCAATCACGAGCGAACTAAAACAGAACTAAAATAATTCTGGATTACTCTATACACTCAGTTGAAAATTAGCCTTGTTTGGAACTTAATTCGATTGCTTGCCAGTGTTGAGATCGTGAGTAGAACAACTTTGCGAGAATTGTTGTATTTTTCTAACAAGCAAACCCGTTTCAAAGAAGGAAGCAAATTTAACACGCAGATGTAAAGGAAGGTTACTCTCGGGAAAGTTCAATCGAAGCTGTCGATCTATCTAGCCATAGTATAGAAGATTTCTTGACCACTGACAGAGCAATTGAAATCCACAAAGATAGTTTTAAACGTAACGAAAAAAGGAAGAGTTTTTAGTCTGGGTCGTCCTTGGCCTTCTTTCGTGGTATGCTTGCCTAGTATTGCTAGTCGTTGAAAGAAGTTTTTTCTATTTTGAAATGCTGTTGAAAACACGTCAAACGAATTCAGTTAATCGTTTACTTATATCAGCATGCATATTGTCCCTGCTGTTCTATACACTTTTCTTAAGTTGCTGACTAGAAGTTACTTAACAACCAAGGGCTTCTTTTACTGGTAATCATTTTTTTTTTCATGACCTCAAATGTGTGATGCGGGGGTGTCATTGCTAGGTGAAATTAGATGCCAGTCACTCATGGGGGTCAAAGGAAAACGTGTGTCATTTCTGGAAATCCTCGTGGAATTACATCAGAATTTCGGTTTTCATTGGAAGTTTTTATCGTGTTATCATCATTAAAGGCCCCATATCATTGGCCATTCATTGTTTATTCGTTCGCTCATAGACTTACGTAACGCAGTTTCTGGTGCAACAAGTAATTAAGCTTAAGTCTAGATTAAAAAAATAAAAGAAATTAGTTGAAACAGGAGCCTATCGGGTTCCCGGTTGAAATATTAAATTAAATGTTAAGTTGTGATTGCTGTCTCAACATGGGGGTGTTTCAGGAAAAAAAAAGAGAGAGACCTTTGACACGAGTGAGCGATGAAGGTGAATCCTAGTTCCAAACTGTTTCTAACACCGTTGACCATTCAATGCCTAACTGGAGCCTTGCGTAACGTTAAAGTTGATCGTCAAGAGCGCCGTCTGGGTGGGGGTGAGGCTTTGGGCACGTAATCAACGAAATTATTCACATTCGTAATTTGAAAACCATCTTGGTTTGCCCTCGAATTCTTGCACTGCCGGTGTAGACGACCCCCCCC